CTTTCATACAAACTAAAACTAGTAGGTAAATACTTTAGATGAAGGGGAAACATATCATCACATTCTAAAATATCGTATCTACTTAGTTTGTAACAAATTGCTGACTTCCCTTTTCTTTCTAGCTATTCTCTGTCGTTGAAACCAATTTGATTAACTGGCTGGGCGACTCACTAGCTGAGGAGATGGAGGCTCGCTCTTTCCCTCTTTCAATATCAAATCTAGATACCGATTGATGCCGAGAAACCTTGATACCTGTCACATAATAGTCGATTAGTCGGCGACTGTATGTCCTCTTTCCATCTCTCACTGTATGTACTGTCAGCCAGGATTCCGATGATCGATTAAATGTCCGATTCGTCATACCTCAAATAATATGTGGCTTGCCTCAGCAGCTCTCTCATCCCGGCCCATCGATCACCACTGACAGCACAGGCACGGATATTCAATTCTATCCCAATCCCATGCCAATTCGGCTGGCCTCGTCGTTCGTTGCGGGCACATTAATATATCTCCTGGCATGCGATCACTGGTGATTGACCGTATCCTGATGTTAAATTCGTACTACGCCATGAGCAGTAAGACTCGAGAATAACAAGAATGAACAACACAACGAGACTAATCTGTAGGTAGGTATATCCCATTCATTGCTGCAATTAGTCTCCATCTAGGACGCTCAAAAATGTACTTCTCCCAAATCGGAAAAGTTATCGAAACCTGTCAAGAAGGATTTCTAGCGTAAACGTATAGCGACCGTCATGATACTGTCCACTTCGCACTATACATTACTCCGTAGATACGAGGCAACTAATAAGATGTCCTCTCAGTTCGGGGTCAAGTCAGGTGCCCATTTTGAGGCAATCAAACTCTCACACACTTTTCCAAAATAAGGTTACTAAAGACTCTTCATCTAACAACCTTCTCATCTATATTCACATCCCAAGCGTCTAAAATCACTTGCCTCAATCTAACCTTTACGGAAGCACCGTGGTTTCCCAAACAATCCCCCGCTATGACCCTTTTCTCAATTCATCCGAAATCCGATCACCCGCTTCACTCCACTTTGTCTAATCCACCCAGTACCTGTTTCGGGACTCAGCTGTTTCGTAGGGCAGGGTAGGGCAGGTCACTAGCTATAGCTCTAGCCTTTTCCACTCGCCTACTGTATCATCCCGTGCACCGCCTACCCACCTTATCATTCTAGAATTCTCTGATATCCTTCTAGCAGATAATCTTTTCGCACTAAACCTCAACTCATGCGACTGGAAGGAAGGCTATGATGTATCTATTCCAAACGGTCATTGCGATTCTGTCATCCCGTCTCTCCGCTAAGAGACCTTAATAGGTATCGTCATATCCAAAGATGTCATGTGCAAATCTACTTCGAACGCTATCAGACGACAACATATCAATCTTTCTCAAACCGCGAAACGACATCACTTCTCAAAGGCAAGACGAACATCATCCCATGTCTTCACTGCCACACCGCCCCTACATCATTCCTTCCCTTTCCAGCTTCCATGCGGGGGGAACTCCGATTCCCACACCCTTCACCCTCCCATTATCCACCTTTCTTCCCTTTCGAGCACACAAGCCCAAGCACTGAGCACTCATTACAATTCAATTTCCACAGTCGTCCCGATCGGTACGCAGAATTCATGCAGATATACTCGACTCGGGCGTTTATCTGATATCTTCTCTCCACTGTGGATTGCGTTGTCACCCCTATCAATATAACGCATCTAATATGAAGATCAACCCGCCCTACCCACTCACCCATGACCTCCCCCTGCTTTACCTTTCCCCCTTGCTCCCAAGGAGAAAAAATGTATCGATGACGCTGGGTATGCGCGTATCCTTCTCTTTCCCTTCTCGAATTACGGGGGTGTCAAACTTTCAATTGATTGATCATCAGCTAAATTCTAATCTACAACAAGTAAAAGCTTTCTTCCTGATACCAAGTCTTCGAACACCGACTTTCCCCCCCCTTTCTTCCATTGTTTGCAAAACATTCCGTCAGCACCTTTCCGTTCTAGGATCGCATACTCTCGTACTCCTTGTGCAAATCCTCCAAGCCTCGGATGCTATGATGACGGGAGCGATGCTATGTACCGTGACGAAACTCCTCACAGCTATACTTGTGTTAATACAATGCTACCCTTCATCACACTTAAACCCAGTGATGATGAATACATGTTGCCTCAAGTGATAGGGGTTCTGCTTTTATTCTTATCAGTGTCAATAATTTGCTTATCTTCATTTGTATAGAGGTTGATACTTGTTGTATCTACCCACGGTACTGTGTTGGACTGTCTGCACACTATCCAGGTCAATTCGTTTGAAGTGGCTTACGCACTGGCTCATACCAGAAAATAGGCTCCCATAAAGTATTCTATAAAAAAGTGACATTCCCTGTATAAAAGTACTCTACCCGAATATCCTTTGTAGCTGTAAATGTATCAGTCTACTGCTACCTAATCATACACAATCGTACACCATCTTATCGAATTTTCACGTCTGGTATCGTAACGTATCGTATCATCATATCTATCGTAGAACCCATGATCCCACTCCACCAAACCCCCAGCAACCCCAGTAAACTCTACTCCCCATTAATCCTCCTCCAAACTTCCTTTTCCCCCTCACTCAACTTACTCCCGGCACTCCCAACCCACCTCTTTGCACTCCCCCAGATCCCCTCCTCCTCACCCCCACTATTCACCCCACCTACACTGGCATTTTCTCTCCTCTCATTCACATCCATTGCTCTCCTTTGATCACTGCTCAGTTCAGCCGCATACGCATTCTGCACGTATCCCGGTGGATGCTCCAGGTATTCAACACTGCGTCGCTGTCCATATCCCTCGTTTTCCTGCTGTGTACGATGAGCATACGCATCGCCAACAGAAACCGGTTGAGGATGCATTGTCCCATATGAACCCGATGTCTGAGCTGCCGTGTTCGCATCCATCGTCATCGTCGTCGAAAACGGTGCGCGGGTGACGCTTGGCGGCGGAATCATCATCTGAGGGGGGTATTCTGTATGATTCTTCACCGTCCCAACTTCCCCCGCATTTGGATTGGGTGGCATCCAAGGAGTCGCATTGTGATTGACAACATATGAAGATCCCGCTCTGGGAGGCGGAGGCACAAATTTAGTTTGCGATGCGAACGTATTTCCCGCGAACCCAGCAGTCGGCTTGGGGAAAGCACCTGGTTGGGGTGCAGGCGGTACATCGGAATCTTCTTTTATCGTGCGCGTTGGCTCTAGTTTGGCCGTCGTAACTGCAGCTGCGGGGGGAGGGGCGTAACGTTGCGAGTTTGCAAGCCCGGTAGGAATGGGCACGGCAGCTGCGGGTTGCGCTCGTGGATACGAGGAGGATGAGGGTAATGTCGTGGTGGGGTTGCTGTTGTTCAGAGGTTCTGATAATGATGCAGGCGCGGCCGTTTCAGAGGATGTTGAAGGCCCGGTGGGAGGGACAGGAACACCCGATCGTGCATTTAGTGGTGCATTGTTATATCGCGGTATGCCCGACATTTCTTGCGAATCAAATATGCTTCTTAGATACAAGAAGATATCTATCAGGTTCCTGAATGACACGTGGATGTTGTCCTTGGGATATATTTCTGCAGGATCGGAAGTGTTGATGTAGAATGTAGATGAGAGGTGAAGGAAAACTGGTTATTGGTAGGTGTGTAGTTGTTCGTTCTTTAGATTGGGTTCAATTGGTATTCTCGCATCGGAAATATGTAAGTTTGACAGGTTGGTTTGACAAAGTAGTTTTAGGTTCCAAGATGTTGTACCTTTTGTGTATCCAAGTAGGTGCCTGGTAGGCTGTACTTTTGTGTTTTGGAACGAGAAATGGGTTATATTGTTTTCCCACCTGTCAATAATTTATTCCGACGGGGACGGGGGTGCAGACTGAATCAAGGTACGGAAGAATATGACTTTGAAATGTCACCGTCGCGTTAATGATTAGATAGATAGGTAAGATTGACAGCAAGATGTTCTTGTAATAGATTTGTACGAAGTATGGCATCAATCAGGAAAAACGTCGTATGTTGTGCTTTGATGACGTTCGTCCTTGGAGGAGATAAACTGGGGAAGATCTACAGATACTAATAAGTAAGCTATCTAGGCAGGTACCTACCTAACTGGGTATGAATGACGATTTTACTCAATTACTCCCGTTGGGGAACATTAATGGAAAATCTGTCCCTTTGTCGATTTAATTTCTTTATACTGCGTGAGTACGAGTACCTAGTCGGTACTTTACAAATATCAATCATACTTCACACACCGAACTTTATCATTCTTCCATTGTCGAGACCATGATAGTAGTCAGATAAATCATTAAATGACTAGAAACAAAATCATGTTATCAATGGAAGGTTTGCAAGAAACAACAAATCTCCTATATTCCGTTCCGAGAACTTTGTACAGCCCGTTCATTCAGATAATCGAGAGAAGAATCATTCCGATTCCGAAGCTCTAGGAGAGTTTTGGGCATAGTATCTTTTAATTTACCTGCTGAGCACACACATGTGATCTCATGAGCAACTGCAAAGAAACGTGACGGTTGTTATCATGCTCTGTCTCACCTGAGGTTCTTTGTGCACCAACGGCTGTGTTTATTTTGCATAAATTACGAAGAAAAGATTGACGAGACGAACAACAGCAGAGAAGAAGGTTGAGGCTGTCATTAAACCAAGGCAGCTTCAAAGGGGGAAGAAACAGGAATTAACCCCAAGCACAAAGAAAGCAAAAATGTCCCTCAAAGAGTGTAGAAAGATTATAGAATGTGTGAGCAAGTATGTATGTAGTGACTGTTTTCATTTCTTTATGCCTGCCTATATCCTCCAGTACAACCACAAAAAAATTGATAACATTTTTCTCTTCTTTCAAATAACTCTCAGGTACCTTATAGTTATTGCATTAGCTGCTGCTTAGACCTCAAGGGCTTTTTGTCTCTTTTATAGATCAGTACAGTGTTCCTGTCAATATGAACCCTCAAATTTCGGATACGGCCTACAAAGATCCAGATGCATGTCCAAAACACGGCCACAACCTCGAATGGCGCACATGTCTACAATGCGATACTATCAAGCTGTACAATCAGAACTCAACAAGTTTTATAGATCTCGGCGGCAAATCCAGTCAGGAGTTTAATCGGCAATATTCGGAAGCAAAAGGGCCAGCGATAGAGAACTTTCCGGCGGAGGATCCTTATGATTCTGACTCATTTGACGGTCCCAGCAACTACTCCGAGCGTCATGCTTTGACTCCCAGCGATGACATGGGTGTTTTCAAAGAGAAATTATCGAAGCCCAGCAAGAGACGCAATCGTTTGCACAAAATAGCAAAAACCAAGTCTGGAAGCGCGGAAGGGAATGTTGAGAGTAACATAGAATACCTTCCACTATCTGAAGAGATACCTCAGGAGTCTCGAAATGGATCATTCAGAATTCGAGGCACAAACGAAAAGTCTAGAGCTCGTGATCGACATGTCAGTTTCGCAGAATAGGCTCGATCAAGGCGTACTGATGTAGTAGGTCTTGGTGTCGCCTGATATGGGGCTAGATTGAAGGACATTCGAAATGAGATAGGTAGTATTGACACATCCTTTTCAGATTATAATAATCATTATTATTATTAACCCTACGATATATAAGAACTCTTGGGCACCCTGTGGGAAATCTTACCAAGCGCATGTGAAGCGAAGGCACAAAAAATATTGATGCCGCAGATCAAAGTGATGAGCTCATCGGTATTTTTGAGCTGTTCTGATTTCGCGGTAAACTCCGGCTCCAATGCCAATAACAAGGAGTATGGCGTTGAATATTGCCATCATGTAAAATGGAGCACCCGTGGAAAGATTATCGAAAAGGTAACCACCAAGTTTTGTGAGTAGTAGAATCGCAGCTCCTCCGGATAGAGAGTAAACACCAGCTATAGAACCTTTGAGATGGTTTCTTGAAGGATTCTGATGTAATGATGGAGGCGCTATAAGCGGTGCTGTTTCGGTTGTTATATCGCGTGAGTCTGTATTCTCATCGCTTCTCGCATCTTGAAGCTGGGACGATAAATTGTAGCCGCCTTCATCACCAAGTACACCCCTTCCTAGTAAACCAAGGCTGCAAACAATCTGTACAAGATATCAGGTTAGCTTAGCACTTGAATACATCGTGAGACGGAACGACGTGTAGAGCCGATGATGAATTTGAAAACTCAGAAGAAATGCGTCGAGGAACTCACCGCTCCTATTTGACTGATGCCAATCAAGGCGACCAAAACAAATACTATAGGACTTCCTCCTCTACCATCGATATTCTGTGGTTCAGGGCTAACAAGCTGAGCAAAACCTATGTATCCAATCACACCAAAAACGCTCGCTGTGAGAAGTGGTATATTGAAACGACGGTAGCGGTCTGAGAGATAGCCAAATAGCGGAGCACAAAGCAAAGCGACCAATTGAGATGCTCCAGTCAACTCGGCGGCAAGAACATATGCTCTACGGCATTCTTTCTTGAGTTCAGGTGATGGATCATTTGGAGATCCTTGACAGAATCCATGTCCAATGAAATATGAGTTAATATAAAGTGGAATAAAAAGTGATATGCCAACTGAGGAGGCACGTGCGACAAATCCTCCTAAATAACCAAGACCAATTTGTGCATCTTTGAACCCTAAAATTGTTGAATCTGATATTAGTGTCCAGTATGGCTGAAACTTCTCCGTGTCTTCTCGTCCTCCAGAATGTCCCACAGTATCTCTGGCTATTGGTCGACCGAGAAGTAGGCGCCACCCTTTACCTTCTTCGCCTGCCAAGCCTCGGAGACCAATAAAGCAGAAGCAAGAAACCATGAGTGATACAACTCCAACCACATAAAAACTATCGGCCACCGCTTGGCCTTGGGATACCCCTTTCATCCGCGAGAATTGCGCTGGCAATGGCAAAAATGCAATCAGTGCCACAAGTGCCCCGCAACCTGTAAATAATCCAACTAAGCCGGCCAAACGCGGGGGGCTTGATCCGGTTTGCTTCATGGATTTTGAGTGGTCGCCAAGGGGGGTCCCACGTCGATCATTATAATTGGTAGGGGTTATGGTGATCTCGGAATCTATAGACTCAGTCGCGATACTATGGCGGACGTTTTCCGGCAAGGCTGATCTCGATATAGGGGAACTCTGCGAATCGTCGGTCTCTCGGGCAGACATTGAAGGTAGGATTGCGGTCACCATCGTCGCACTCCAATCTCGGTTAGCATGCGCGTATGATGTCGCTCGGAATGAACTCACGTAGCAGCTCCCCCCACTGAAAAGAACAATCTCGCAAGTAACAGTTGTGGGAAGACATTCTTTGCTTGCACGAATAAGATCAATGCAAGGCCAACAATGAGGTACCCTAGAACGCAAACCACCCGAACACCGAGTCTATCACTAAGAATTCCCCACGCGGGACAAGCTAACAAAGCAACCAATTCATCCGCAAACCCCTAAGAACGAGTAAGTATTTTCAATTTCTAAAGATAATTGACATTTAGGGTGTCGTACGAGAGTGCCCACCAGATCCCCCACGCCTTCCTTTACTCCAATGAGATCAGTGATAACGAATGACACGCTACTATTGAGAAAAACCAGAAAGGAGATGGAAAAAAGACACACGGCCAAAAGATAAGTCACTGCTTGCGCGTCTGTTGTCCGAGAAGCAAACGGGAGATATCTAGATACCGACATTTTCCCCCGAATCGTGTGTATCCCGGATAGGTCGGAAATATTCAACGATGGCTGGTTATCATTGCCTGACAATTTAAAAGGGGATTATTGGAGACCAGGTTTAGGATCCAGATGAGATAAACTGCAGAAAGGTATCAAGATGGGTGTGTGAGAGTGAGTTGTATGAGATGTATGAATGAGCTGTATGAAGAAGAATGTCGAAACTGGAAGGTGCAGTGCGTACCTAGGTTAGAGACCACTAAAACGCCCGCGTCATCATCATTCGTTGATGATATGATTCAATAATTACCTAGTAGGTACCTGCAGGTCACCTTGTTGGCTTATGTAATGTGTATCAAAACACGCTAATCGATGAACCTCACCTCAGAGTCTCAGACAAGCTTTTTAGTCTTTCATATGTGTAATCATATAATATGCGGATATGTGAATGTGTATGCTTTTTATCCGAATCGCGGAATTGAACCATCACAAGTCTGAGTGCCGGCAGTTTCATTCCCCTAACCTGACTCAACATTTAACCACTATACATCGTATTCTTTACCGCACGGCACGGTGATACGATTGGGTGTCACGTACATATTAGGAGACTGGGCACTGAGCACTGGGCACTGGGCGCTGGGAATTGGTCATGAAGTAAGAATCAATTCAAATTCCAGTCTGTGGCCTTTGGGGCTGAGATCCAAAAGTCCAATTTAACGCTAATGAACACATTTCTGCAGCCACTGCAGGCACATCCGCCACACTTCAGATATTTTAAAGGGGTGTCTTCCCATGCAAATCATATATCATCTCGAAGCAGATCAAGACCTGAATCTTATGATCAAACCCCCTTCACCGTCCTTAGCCGAGTTCGAGAGCAAGAGTGGACCCTATTCTCTTACAAGCAAAGCATCAATTGATATGACAGTACTCAGACATCTGCCGAGGCTATTCATACATTCTTTCCCGATTTTTGAACATACAATAATCTAGCCAATGGGTTCAGGTTTGGACCCTTGACTCGATGTGGATAGTGTCTGATGATGATCCTCAAAGAAAGGAAAAGAAGCCGATGGTTATTCTAGGCCTCTACAGATTCCCCACTATCCGGAAATTTTCTCGATCTACAACCGTACTCGGCAAGCCTATGTTCGGGATGCCGAAGGAATGATGCCCGAAGCCGATGAAAGTCGGCAATAACTAAATGGCATGTTTTTCTGTCAATTGTGTATTGGCTACGAGGCTACGAGGCATCTTTCAGATCCCTATTCATGGAAGTAAGGCCAAGCCTTGAAATGGTGCCAGACAGCCGGAATGAACTCGAATGAGGGTCCGTCTCATTTTGGGTATCACACATGGAATGACATGGGGTTAAGTCAAGAATCATCAGTTCTTTCACCCACCCTTGTTCTGATCCCACGTATGCGTATGTGTATGCGTATGATCACCGAATGATTGCACGTTCATTCCTACATATGCTGCAACGATGGATAAGTGGACGGACCATAACATTATACGAAAATCACCGAGCTCCTGCAATAGAGCACGCATTATGCTTTCGTTTTTGGGACACCGTTCTCCTGCCTTGCTTCTCTTTTCTTCCACACTCTTTTCCATAATCTGTCATGCAGCTGCGGTGTTGCATAAATCATGGCCGCGTGATTCATGAGCTGTTGGGCCGCAAATCAGACATCGCTATGTAGATAGCTAGTAAAGGAAGGAAGGACTTGGGCCCATCGTTGTGCAATTTGAAAGGGGTAAGGTGATAGGAGGGTCGCAGGCATGAGTTCATGGCCAGCAAGCATCAGAAAAGACAAGCAAAAAATCCTCCGTGAAAATATAGTGATTACTTCTTACCTGCAGTTCTTGTACCTTAATTTGACCGACACAAATAGAGTTTTGATTTGATTCGACGAAAAAAAAAGAAGAAAAAATAATCCACACCTATCAAATAATCAAGAAAGGAAAATGGCCAAGATGAAGTTATTGATATTATGATTATGATGGATTTTTTTGAAATCAAAATCGAACCAATCATTGCCTATGTTGCCTATGTTTTATCAATCTCAAACTTCTGGAAATGTGATGTCTCTCGCATTCAATACTGCATTTGTCTTGTTATTTGTTGTATGATGTTATCAGCTGATGAGAAGGAGTACGAAAACGTTCCAACAAAATCGACCCGGTTGGCTACCGCTTTATGCAAAGATCTAGATATCACGGCTTCGTGCTCTCCTTGATTGAAATCTCAAAGGTCTCGCCTTGAAAGAAAAGCGGATCAATCGAATTCTGTACTGCTGCCCAGTTGACGAGAACCTGGCTACAACTCGTACAATAGATATATTGTATATTAAAACTGACGACTGCGACGCACGGTGCGACCATAAGTATCTCTGTACCAGGTTTTCGCAAAATACAAATTAGCCGATTGTTACTACCGCACCGATGTGTACGATATAGCATTGAGTGGACAAGATTCACGAAGTGGAACATCTCGGCAACGTACCTCGCTCACATACAAATGTTCTGAAAGCTCGATGTATCGCACGGTTCCTGCACTCGATCTGAGTAGAGTGTATTACCTCATGGAGCATCATTTCAAGGTCATTGGGGGAAAAAGGTTCCGAAAGAGCACAAGGAGCGAGAGGGCAAAAGACCAAGAGACCCAAAGACTAGTCCGTATGGATCGATGGCATCTGGATATTTGGGGGCGTAAAAATCCCAATGATGGGTTTCGCACTTGAGTAACCCCAAGGCAAGAAAGGTGATCAATCACATTCCACGATCTCTAGGCGTTTGTAACAATCC